GTGTGGGTGGGTGGGTGTGTGGAAGGAAGCTGGTTTTGGCCCAAGGGCCAAATATGTGAAAACATTTTATCAAGGCTGCATTCTCTGACATGCCGCAGCTCATCAGTCCACAACAGCACACCTCTCTTAGGAAAGAATCACCTACACTCCCACTGCAGGTTGTAGTAAATCTGCTGGAAAAAATCACCCAAAACAACAGCTGTGTCTGTAATTAAAGGAGAAGCAAGCCCAGACTAAATGTTACTCTATTTGCAGACTTAACTGGGTTAAGCGGTGGTGATGATGCAAACCAACATGTTTCCTGTGTGTGTGTGTGAATGAACCACTTTTTTTTTTGCAAGATTTCCACTCATCTGCACAGACTCTGGTCCTCTCTGTGAATCTCTTTTTGTGTGTGCTTGTGTTTGGTGCAGCAGGAGAGCTGCATTTGACATCCCTGCACCCTGCTGAATGCCTTTCATGGCCCTGCATTAACATCACTATGGCACTGACAGATTTACTACCGTGCTGACTTTAGCTCACTCTGCTCTTTCTGGCTATTCCTCTACTCTTTTGCTTTGTTTTCTCCTACTTGTGTTTAGGCACATTTCTCTCCACAGGTTGATGTTTTTTCCACATGTTTTGGTATACATATTTAACCTTCTTTTCTGTCGGGTCTCAGGTCCAGTGAATTGATTGTGATATCCATACAACCTTGTCTCTTTCAGTCCTGCTCGGCTTTGTTTCTTTGGTCTGTGCCATCCATCTCATCATGGACAGCCTGCTGAGCGGGGCCAGTAAAGGGGCCGGTGCCCTTCAGTCAGCACAGACCTCATCACGTCATAGATGCCACTCGCTGTCTTTGCCCCTGTATGAGTGACCGTTTAGGAAACAATAAAGCCTAAATTCCTCTTGGTTTGAACAAAAGAGCCATGCATCCGCCGCTGGCCCTCTGTGTCTTTTGGCTGCTGCCCCTGGCCTTGACGCTAGAAGAAGACTCTCCCCTGGACTGTGTCCCTCGCAGATCTGTGCCCTACATTAGTGAGTGTTGCTTTCTGTCTTGCTTAATGTTGGCTCACAATGTGTCAGCTTGTGTTGGCTCATATAGTTTGAGTAACATGAGGAAACACGGTTGAATCACTGGTGTTTGCCAAAGTTAATCAGTCATGTTCTGTGTCTAGGGGCCAACGCTCACCTGTTTCATGAGGAGGGAGTGTTCAACTACTCCACCATGCTGCTGAGAGAAGATCTGGACCTGCTATTGCTCGGGGCCAGGGAGGCAGTGTATGCTCTTGACCTGAAAGACATCACCAAGAAAGTTGCTTCAGTAAGAACACTGATGATATCAACGTCATTCAAATAATTCTGTTAGCATTAGTTGTAACATTTCTTATCTGAGTTTCTTGGCCCAGGGCTAGCACATGTGTGTTGTGCCAAGTGCTCTGCTCTGAATGAAGCCCTAACTCAACACATACTTAAACCAACGAGTGTTACTGGAAGTTAATGGCTGATTTACGTTTGTTATACTACTTCAGTTAAATTTGCAAGGACATGTTTACTTATTCTCCACAGTTGTAGCTTCCTAGCAACTAAATCAACCCATTTTGGATAATTGTATGTTTTAGTTATTTTGCAGCTTCAGATTCATAACAAAGTATAATCAAGTCATGTATTATTATGGAACAATATTGTATTTATTCTTTGCCACCTTGAATTCCTTGCTAAGAGCTGCAGCATGAAGTAATGTACATATGATTTCATTAATAATCATTATTCAGTTGTATAATATCATAAAATGGGCCATTCTGCATAATGAGCACTTTTACTTTAGTTGCTTTTGGACTGCAGACTTTAACTTGTTACATAATTTATTTTACAATGCAGTATTACTACTTTCACTTATCAAGTAATATATCAGAGTACGTCTTCATCGCTGTGATGCCAATCATAAAACAATTAACCTTGAAAAATGGAAACATTTAAAACAACATGGTGTTTTCACTCTTTCAGGTTAAATGGGAAGTGACACAACAGCAAAGAGACGAATGCAGAAACAAAGGAAAAGACCCTGAGGTGGGTCCCGTTTCAGCTTTTTCTATTTTAAATGTTTTTAGAAGATGTATTCATTGCTCTTTGAATGCCTTTACAGACGGAGTGCATGAACTACATCAGGATCCTGCACCAGATGGAGGATAACAGGATGTATGTGTGTGGAACCAATGCTTTTGATCCTGAGTGTGATTACATGGTGAGATGTGTGCTTGCTTATCTAAATGTATATTATTGAACACTGCATAAATTGATGCTGTGTAGTTTATTCATCACTATTCTCATCAATTTGTGCAACACAACTATAGGACTTAAAGACTTTGTGAGTTTCAGTGTCTCTGTGATTGTCTCTGCAGTCCTACGCAGATGGAAAGCTGACTCTAGAGAAGAAAGCAGAAGATGGCAAAGGGAAGTGTCCATTTGATCCTTTTCAGAGATATGCCTCCATCATGGTTGGTGAGTAGCGGTTATACAGTATATTAAGAAATCGAGGATGAATGATTAATTAGTAAAGCTGCATTTTTAATTTGTATCTCTGTTTCCACTGTTGTGTCTTGCCAGAAAACAACTTGTTCTCGGCCACTTCAATGAACTTCCTGGGCTCTGAACCCGTGCTGGCGCGCAGCTCCCCTGTCTCAATACGCACTGAGTTCAAGAGCTCCTGGCTTCATGGTAACATATGATCCTATCCTATATAATGTTGAAGATGGCGTTCATGCAAATGCTTTACTCTCTGAAGCAGTGTTATATTTCATACTGAAAACTATAAGTAAATATCTTGGTCAACAACCCTTTTATTTCCATGACTCAGACCAGACAATGACAACAATACAACAACGTCTTTATAGAGTAGCTTTGACTATACAGGACTGTCTCAGAAAATTAGAATATTGTGATAAAGTTCTTTATTTTCTGTAATGCAATTAAAATCTGAGACAGTCCTGTATAGTCAAAGCTACTCTATAAAGACGTTGTTGTANGGGGGAGAATGCCCCAGACCCCTCTGGGGCCTTATGTCTTATACGCTTAGCTGTTGATTCCACTCTTTCATTAAACTTTTAAAAGCATACTTTAGTTCTGGAAGGGATATATGCCTGTACATACTTCCTTTAATCTAATATTGATGTGCTGAGAAGGGCTTAGTATTCCGGCGCAATTTTTTTGTTGTTGAATAGGGGTTCAAAATGTGGAGATTCTAAGAAATACTGGGTCTCCGATCTATCTGACTCATAAATAAAAGCGTTCACAATTCTGTGGTGTCCCAGGCTGTACACTGCAGAAGAAAATCTGAACGACTTGTAGTTACTACCCTGACACCTTTGTATTATTACTGTGCAGTACTTATGCACTGACTCTTTGTTTTTCCATCTGGTAGTCTTAAGTCAGAAACTAAGCGTGAACCGCGTGCTCCACACTAGACAGAAAGTAAGGACAAAGAGGATGGAATCTTAAATTGTGGGTAAGGATAGATAGCCCCCATTGTTCTGTGACCTGTCAATCATCAAACCGGGGGTCATATTTCATCATGTGTTCATTTTGATCTGAAGTTGTACCCATCCATCCATCCATCCATCCATCCATCCATCCATCTTCTCCCGCTTATCCGTGGTCGGGTCGCGAGGTAGCAGTTCCAGTGGAGAGCCCCAAACTTTCTTTTCCCTGGCCACATCAACCAGCTCTGACTGGGGGATCCCAAGGCGCTCCCAGACCAGCGAAGAGATATAATCCCTCCACCTGGTCCTAGGTCTACCCCTTGGTCTCTTCCCAGCTGGACGTGCCTGGAACACCTCCTAGGGAGGCGCCCAGGTGGCATCCTTACTAGGTGCCCGAACCACCTCAAGTTGTACCCATGGATGTATAAAGAGTAGTTCTACCGTAAAGTTATTCTCCGTGAGGACTTCCGGCAACAATCCGGCAACAATCTGGATTCTGATTGGCCAGAAGACTCGAAAGAGGTTTTATTGAGAAGATGATCACTACGTGACAGAAGTTTTTAAAATCGTTTATGGTCTCCGGTACTTCCAGTCCAACGGCGTTAGAAAATCGGGCCTTCAAAATAAAAGTTTGACTTTTTTCCAAAAAGAAATAGTGGGTCCGCGACCCACTTTTGGGTCGCCACCCACCAGTTGAGAACCACTGCTGTAGAATATATAAATCAGTCAAATAGCCGAAGTTTGACCTCGTGTCTTCCTCCCAAGCTACTGTACCTTGCTGGTATTGTTTACTTTAACTTAAGTAGGTAAGTTAGGCCTAGTGCCTGTGACTGTACTATTGATTTAGTCCTGATATGGCAGCTACACAGGAAACAGAACTGCTGGAAAAAAGAATCTGATTTATCTGAATCATTTTAGTCTTTTAGTCAACAGTAAGTAATCACTGCAACATATAGGACTGTCTCAGAAAATTAGAATATTGTGATAAAGTTCTTTATTTTCTGTAATGCAATTAAAAAAACAAAAATGTCATACATTCTGGATTCATTACAAATCAACTGAAATATTGCAAGCCTTTTATTATTTTAATATTGCTGATTATGGCATACAGCTTAAGAAAACTCAAAAATCCTATCTCAAAAAATTAGAATAGTTCCTCAGACCAAGTAAAAAAAAAAGATTTATAACAGCA